TCATTTCAGTATTAGTTGAAATTACGATACTCTGGAACGGTTAATTATATCAGATTTATAGATTCCGGCATCGTTAGAATGCTTGTGGAAAAGTTTGAGAGCGTCTTCTCATTTCTCGATCATTGTGAAGTTACAACAGTTACAGTCACGACTGATTAATATGAGAGTGCTTGATAAAATGCGCAACTAAAAATACTGTTTCATAAGGTAGAAAAGAAGATGCAAAGAGATGTGTTGATTGCGAAAAATTAAAATGATTATATCGCATTGATTTATATCGTCTTTAATATATCGTTTTTATGAGTAGATTAAAGTTGATCGCGAAAAATTAAAATGATTATATCGCATTGATTTATATCGTCTTTAATGTACCGTTTTTATGAGTAGATTAAAGAAAGTTAAAAAAAAACAGCATTTATAAATAAATTAAATTAGTCGTAAAAAATTGCGAATTATGTTAAGAGATATATTATCTGAATACTTTATTTTGACGTAATCTATAATTAGAGAATTACTTACCAAAGCTGTACGAGTGACAGCCAGCAAGACTGAAACAAATCAAACAAGATGTTATTTTTTTCAAATACCTTGACAAATTGCAATTTTTTTTATTGGACATAATTGTTACAACAAGCACGTTACAAATCCATCAAAGGAAGAATTTTGATTATGACATCAATTATCTCAAGTGCTAACGGCTGTGTGCTGTCGACGCCGCCTCCAGTAACAGCTGCAATAATTCGTCGCGATGGCAAGAGGTTGCGTGCGAATCTCACAGAAGAGAAATGTGTCTTGAAAAATCTCTGACATAACTTCCCGCCTAATTAATTAAGGAGCATTGTCAAGCACGTTCAGAGCGTAGGCATGGAGAAGTTACGAGTTCTTCGCACGCTTGCCTGTACGTAAATAGCATCAAAAAAATGAAGAGGAATAAACGCAGAAGAAAAGATCGCGCGTGCAGAAGAGAGAAAAGGAGAAGTGAACAGTACGAACAAACTGCACGAATGTGTGTGGTGTGTTATACGAGAATTGTGAAGACCGTGCACATTTTCGCAATGACACTGGTTTACGGATCACGCAAGCTACTTGTTAAGCAGATACAGAACTCTTTCTTGGGCATGCAAGAAAATCCAAATGGTAATCTCTTGTAAAGTATCACTTTATGAAGTGATGTTCTCAAATAATACTTATTTATTTCGTTTACATATAAGAAACGCGTGCGATCAGAAAGAAAATCTTTCAGCACTGCTTTTTTTAAATTTCCACATCATCTTATTTGCAAATTATAAAACTTTATTGAAAAATATATTTAATTTCTCTATAATAGCATCAAATATATCATTATTGAAAACAAAAGCGAATCCAAAAATTTCTCAAGATGGGAGCAATTGGCAGATTTATATTGGCTATTGGGTTGCCAAGTTTCTCCAATATATATATCATGTGTTGCCAATAATCAAAAAAACAAAAAAAAAAAGGAAAATTTCCATATTTTTCCGTTCTTATTTTTTAACGTATGCATCGCAAGCGTTAAAATTTTTTTTTGTTTGTGACAGACAAAAAATAAAAGCTGCAGCATAGACTTTTTGCATAACACTGCATAATGCGATGTTTACAATATGATAGTAAATCTTAAACTATAAGAATTTAGGAGTTTTTTAAATTAAAAAATATTTTTAGAATATCAAAATTGTGATTAAACATTTCAGAAATATTAAAAGTATATATTTGCTATAAATAAGTTTAACAAAGAAGATATTCAAAACAGGAGCTGTGGCGCCTATGGCTCCTGAAAATAGATTCAGAGATTATTATACACAAGTAACAAAATAAATTATGAAAATTTTGATTAAATTTTCCTCTTGTGATGATCGTTTTTAACGAATAATGTAATTATCAAACGATTCAAACGTCAATGATGCCTCAGGCGTTGACGTTGATAAATTAAGCTCTAATGGTAACTTTACTTCGACGTAGATTAATAGGTGTAACTTAGCAAATACGATTGACCTTTATGTCTCAAATAAGATCGTTGTTACAGCGAGTCATGGATATTTTAGAAAATTATTTCTTGTCTAAATATGAATTTTGTTTCCAAATCCAATAATTTATCAACCGAAATTCAATTTTGAATTAGCTTTGTATTTTTTATTTATATACTTATAAAATTGAATCAATTTTTTGCATTAATAGAAGTAATTGTAATAAAAGCTAGTTTAAAATTAGCCAATGTCAGGCTTACCCAAGACAGTAATTCATAAATCTTATATTAAATCTTATATTAAATCTTATATTAAATTGCTAATAAAATTTTATTTTAAAATTAATTATGTATAGAAATATAAATGGCATATTTAATAACAACGTTTTTTTTTCTAGTGATTTCCGGTTTTAATGGGCTATATTACTCAACGGGGCTAAAAGCACAAAAAACTGTTTGAACAGTTACGATCATCGTGAGCGACATGTGGGAATTTCTTTCCATATTTTAATTATTAATAATTTTGCAGGAGATCTTTTTCTTTCATCCTCTATACGTTATTTATTTCCATACCTCACATAATTTGGCCAAAAGGTTATTTCAAGAAATAGTATCGCATACCATTATTCATACATCTTTCTGTTGTCGGTTGATAGCTTCGGTTTTGGTTACCTCGAAACAATAGGGCGGAGATCAAGATGGTCGAACCTCGCGTGATCTACGAAGATAATGCGAGCACGATACTCGATGCATCGTTTGAGAGGATCTTTGACCGTTACGTGGTTACACTAGTGTTGCACGATCGTCAGAGAGTATCGTAACTTACCCGAAGGGAAGTCGTAACGGAAACGGCTTAACCCATCTTAGGCTATATTTCCTCGGACTATGAATTTTTCTTATCTCTAGTGTATCTCCGCTCCAAAAAGTTACGTTTATTTTATGCCAATGTAACGTAATTACATTATAGCAATTATATACGTTAAATAATCTCTTTCAATTAGTCTCTCTTTACTATGTAATTACTATAATTCAAATATAAAGAAACTACGAATTCATACTTCATAATTTGACTTTGAAATTAAAAAAGTTTAGCTTGTTTCCGAATTATTTTTTTCTTTGATTTTCCAAGCGCTCGCCTTTTTCATAGATTTACGATCTTGAACGGTGCCTGTTCTTAAGATTCGTAAGAAGCAAAACGAGAGAAGTTGCGCTAACACGGTACGCTGCATACACTTGATCTTTATTTTAAGTGCGGATGATTGTAAGCGTAAATGGTGACCCCATAATACGTAAAAGTGCGTTGGAACAATACCAGCCCACAGCATGCTGGCTTATCTCTAATTCATTTTAATTAGAGGATATTACGAAAAAATATCGTAGACCTTGCGTGAAGGTTCCATCGAAATTTAAAACTCGTTTGGACTGTAACATCGTAATCGAATCATAAAAAAACGTACGTATTATGACATTTAATTCTATTAGACATTACTTGACTACAAAAAAATAAATCACAAGAAATAAAATTTCTTTATAACAGCTCATACTTAAAAGTTAGTATTTTAACGTATTTATCTTCATTTGCTACAAATTATAATTATGATAATTACGACTTGTGCTCATAATATGTTTTTATAGTTCGAAATTACACTTAGAGACAGAAAGTTCAATAAAAATTAAAAAAAAGCAAATATTATTTTTAAATATAAGAATACTTAAAAATAAACATTTATTAGAAAATTTTTATTTTATCATGTTTGCGACTGATGATCGCGCGCTCATGAAGTTTTTCTGTCTTTTTATATCTTTCTGATGTGATTTGCAGTCGTCAGAGACATTGTCAAAGAATGCCATACTGATTGCGTGGTGCATAATAACGCGTACGAGAACTTATACGGTACGATAATTCGATGGACGGAAGGTGTAAGTTAGTGTAGGATTGCTTAACAATTGCTTGGAAACTTTTCATCTCCTTCGATTATTGAGACGAAGGTTATACTTGACGTTGGGACACGTCACAAATTGCGAACTTTCTTTTCTCTGTCCACGACTGCAATCTCTGCTAATCTTTCTGTTTTCTCCAGAAGAAAACCGACGGATATTGCCGCGACGTTTCTTGCGTCGCTTTTGTTAGCTCTTCCCATGTGTTTGATGATGTGCTAACGTAATAATCAGGTTACTACATTAGATGATTATATGAAGTAAAGCCATGCGATGAACCTAATATCTTGAATCAATATTACTTTTATCTTACCGATCCAGAGCAAGCGTAACCGCATATTTGCTGGCGCAAGCACCCTCAAGGAGTGGGCGAGTCTGAAAAGATAGTGCAATCGATTGATCTGTTTCATACATTTATATATGTGCGTGTGTGTGTGTGTGTGTGTGTGTGTGTGTGTGTGTGTGTGTGTGTGTGTGTGTGTGCGTGTGTGCGTGCGTGCGTGCGTGCGTGCGTGCGTGCGTGTGTGTGCGTGCGTGCGTGTGTGTGTGTGTGTGTGTAGTTAATTTATGTAGAAAGATATTTAAAAAGATAGACATTGAAACTTTGAAACTTGCAGTGATTTGCAATAATTTCAAAAATTATATTCCGTCTGTTTATATAAATTTTATTTGAGATATGTTATGCTGTTTGTTGTTAAAAATACAATTTGTTTGCTAAAATATGTATAACTTTTCTGCTAAAAAAATTTCGAATCATTAAATATTTTTTAAATAATAAAATTTTATTTGATATATGTTTCGCTGTTTATTGCTAAAAATATAAGTTATTTCTTTCGTAAAATATGGATGATATTTCTGCTGAAAATGCTTTTAAAATTTTTTTAAATGAAATTTCAGTATATTTATTTACTTATACGTCACATTGATTGATTTTGACATTAAATTAAAACAACTAAACGAATGACAGTCCCAAAGAACTGAAAGTAATTAATATATCTTTCTATGTATAATATAGAAATTTTATTAAAATCTTAAAATACGTATAGAAATTTAATGTGATATTGTTAATATTAAAAAGAAAAAATTTTGATGTTTTATATGACGTTCCTCGCGTTATAAATTTACACAAAATATGATAAGCATATACGCTTACTCTATTATAATTACTGCTATAACACTACATTCTCTTGTGTACACGAAGGGTTAAGGTATTAAATATATTAATAAGAAAATGGAGCTCCAAGATACGCTCGAATGGAAATCACTGACCGTATTGTTTTAATGCACTGCGTTCGTTCCTCATTCTATCCCCGAGCATTGCGCACGGAAGTTTAGGACCTTCGTCGAATCATTCGTGCGTGTTATCGGTGCCACATTGGGATACGCGTTCACAGATGTATTACAAAGGAAAAATGTAATAACGAACTCGATTCTTGGGGCGTAATTACACTGGTTAGAACGAAAAAAGAGTCCAATTCATGCGATAGATGCGAGTACTCGCAGAATTGAGCAGCGGGCAAAAGCGCGATTGTGGTATCATTAGGGGGATGAAGTGATGTCGAAGACTCACCCAACCGATTCGTATGTACAAAACACACCGCAGTGCTGAGGTAAGTCAAGACAGTGACTGATGGTGGAAGTAACTTCATCGGCATATATATCCTTGGATAGCACCCCGAGTGCTAATACGCCCCCACCAGGGATGAGCCCCGGCGCTCATCCTTCGACCTCCTCCAGATCGAGGCCCCTTTTTTCCTCTGTTCTTCGGGATGCAAGGTGGGGAAGCTCGCGAAACCGCGAATAGCGATGAGCTGGATCCTTTCGTGCGGGACGTTTATGCTTCTAAAAATCGTAGGAGAAACGATCGGATATTGCTTCCGCTGATTTTTTATTTATTAAATCTTAAGAAATACATATAAACTTGCAACTACAATATAATTTATTTAGATAATTTTTGCGTTAATAATAATTATTTCAAGAGAATAATACTAATCTAAGATATACAATATTTCATACTAATAAACAATTATAAATATTTTTTGTACATATATTTCAATTTATAATATTATGTAAATATTGAACACAATAGATATTTTACATAATCTCCTATATGTGGGAGACACAAATAAAGCAGGAATCAAAAGTAAAAATCAGATGAAGAGGAGAGGCAACTAGATTTTTGATAATAATAATCTTTTTGATAATAAAAACCCTCCGGATGATTATTATCTAAAGTAAATATCGACAGATTGGACCCAAAATAGTGGTAGTGGATCTAGCGCGGGCCCATTACTATCCATAAGCGGTGCGCTATCCGTGGAACGACCTCACGACGTAAGTGACCCGCTGCGGGACTGAAGGAGGCCTCCTCCAGAGAGGGGTCCTGATGGGGGATCTCGCGGAGATGAGCAGCTTGTGGGAGGCCGGGGTTAGTGAAAGTGAAATACTGCAAGTAGAGTAACGTCTACCGAAGTGCTGTGTATTTCGCGTTGCTCTAATCGACGGCAAAGATCGCTTTAGAAAAGAAAATCGCGAGGATGTCTTTGCATCTCGATCTACTTGTATTTAGATAAAATAGATGTACGCTGTTGTCGCAATTATTCCTTGCTTGTACAAGCAGAATTTATATCATCTTTTCTTAGTAAATATAAATAAATAGAACAAACAAGAGAAATTATTAAAAAGAAACATTTCTTCTTTTTATTTCTAAAAAAATATTTCTACATAAATTTGTGGCAAAATTACAAAATTACTATTATTTGTATCTAATTAATTAATTAATTCAAGGTCATGGATAATCATGGAAATCTATATTATTTTATAAATTATAGACATATAAAAATATATGCAAATATATTTTTTAAATATTCGATATTCAAATATTTATTTATTATTAAATATTTCATAAATATAAGATGTATGTATAAAAAATTTTATAAATTTTAATAATTTCTTATTTATATACAGAATATCCTAAAATTCGCGTATTCGAAGTACAGAACATGATATTTTACGCTAAAATAAACAACTTTTTCCTTTAGCAAAATTGCATCCGATAAATAATTTTATTTTTGCGCTTATTTGCTAACTTCAACCTGCTCTCCTGCAAAAATTACTTATTGAATGCAATTTTGTTTAAAGAAAAAGTTGCTTTTTATGCTAAAATGAACAAATTTTTCTGTAGTAAAATTACATTCAATAAATAATTTTTGCCGTTTATTCGTATAACTTCAACCTGCTCTCCGGAAACTTGTCAGAAGCAATTTTGCAAAAGGAAAAAGTTATTGTTTTGCATAAAGTATCATGTCCCGTGCTCCGAATATGCGAATTTCACTCTATATACATCACTCTATAGGATCACTCTATATACATTCATATACTCTGTATATACATACATGTATATATATAATTTGTTATTATAATATAAAATATAGTTTTATAATTTTTCTTAAAATAATTTTATTTCGTTTTTCACAAGTAATTGTAGAGCAATTGCGTTTGTAAAGCTATAGTACGATTGTTTCTAGCTTTAAATCTTTACCTAATTGTGAGATTAAAGAGAAGTGATTCCTAATAAATAATGCATGATATCGGAAAGCTGTAGAGAATACTACTCTCCGTTGCATACATATAGAATGCTTTTGAAACAAAAAGCCTCTTGCTTTGTTTTCCAGTAGAGATGTCGAGGTTATCCGGAATGATTAGAAGGGTAGAAAAGTAGATCGTATTGATTTTATCGTACTTGACAAAGGATAAGCGAATTTAATGACAAAAGTACTCCTTTTATAGTGCTCTGTGCATAATGTTCCCGTCATATGATAGATACAGAAAGAAAATCTAAATAAACAAATTTTTTATGTAAAACTGATTTTAAAAATTGATATTAACATTATTAATATTATTAATGAAAAAAGTTATTGATATTTTTTTTCAATAAATTTTTTGAATGAACAATTTTTCTTTTTATTTGATATTTTATTTAATGAATTGCCTTGCAGTAGTTTTAAACATATTTTCTGGCTTGACGAGTTTGATTGATATTATCTCTATGATTTACTTACAGTAAATTTTGTATGAAAACCACTACAATAGACGCTGCGCTCCGTCGTTGTCAAAGGACAAGCTATTCCATTCGTTCTTTGCTCGCCCCGTTTCGGATTTATAATCGGTCTGCGTCATCGCGTAATCATTGGACATACGTAGTGACACGACGTGTCTTCGCACGTTCTCCTCTATGGTGCTTTCATCGCAAAGTGCGAGTTACTGCATCGCGTGAGTGGTATAAAGGCAGTTGACGCTCAGCTTATGCCGAAAGGGACAAAAGCGAACGTCGATATCAACTTCTCGCTTCGCACACACATCATGATACTGCGAAATTCCTCGATTTCTGTTTAATTCCCTCACATGATGACATCCACATGCACACGTCCACAAAATCCGCAATAGAGTCGGCCGCGATGAGTCCCGGGGCGAGGATGCATAGCATCTACGTAGCTATTTGCTAAGTTATCGTATAGACGAACGGATGAGATTTCAGTTTGCAAAACCTTGAGGATGCTAGATGTGGATCCCTAAGGCGAGTATTTCCCAGCTCTCTCTCTCTCTCTCTCTCTCTCTCTCTCTCTCTCTCTCTCTCTCTCTC